TTATATAGATAGCAGAAATGTTTAATTTGAAAATTTTATCAATTTATTAGTTTTCTAGTTTTGTTATAGATGTGCTACACATGTCTCGCTCATTTCACTCATTCTCCTGTTAACTATTATTTTTTCTAGTTTCATTATAGATGTGCTTCGCATGTCTTGCTCATTTCACTCACTTTCCTGTTATCTACTTTGATGAAAAATTTTTTTTTTCTTGGAGTTACGACACATAGTAAATTGATATGAAATCAAGACCTACATGACCTTGTGGATATGCAAGCTATAAAAATTAATGCTATCGAAAATAATATGAAACAGGTGTCTGGAGAATCAAATATATAGCTCTTTCTGTCCCAGAAACCCTATGTATACGCAACAAGTATTGGTTTTAGAAATATAGTTACTCATTGAGAAAATGCCAAAAAGGAAAAGATAAAATAGATAATAAATTTGTTCCTATTATTTTTCTTCTAGAGGTCTTGGCTTTTTGTTGGATAATAATGCATCAACATGATGTTTTCTTTTTCTAACACTTATTATTTTTCTTTCTTGGTAAATTTCATAAGTAATCCTTTCTTTTTTTAGATAAGTTTCCAGTGTCTGAATATTATTTATTTTGAAAATATAAGGAGCAATTTTTTCACCTTGTTCTTCTTCAAAATACTTCTAATGGTGCTATAATTTTTGGGTTCCATAGTAGATCTGATGTAAATGAGTTTCATAATGTTATTTTTATATAGGGGTAGTATTATAGTATATTATTTAACAAATTGGACATTATAAACTAGTTGTGATGATAGTAACTAAATTTTGATCCCTGAAATTATTGGTAATACCAATGTTCACTTTGTCTGGTTTTATTGCAATATGCCCATATATTAATTTGTGGTCCGTCCATCAACGATAGAAATTTGTATAAAATCCGGTGCAATTCAAAAATTATCAAAAGTAGAAATAACTAAACCTCGTCCACAAACTCCAAAGAATAGGTGATTGTCCATATTAACAAAATTATTTTAAATAATTAGGCCAATAAATTCATAAATTAGAATTAAATTGCAAATTATATCCATTTTAAATGGCATTTTTATAAACAAGAGAGGCAGAACAAAATTTTCTAAAAAAATAATTACCATTTTACAAGGATTTTTTCATGCAGGTAATGCAAAAGTGGTCGTTACAATACCCAAAGTATCTTAAAATAAGTCAAGAATCATCCAAAAGTAAAATCTATACAAAGTTAGGTTACTTGCAAACCGAAACATCAAAAAAAGCCTTAACAATGAATCATTCATAATAAATTCTTTTTTAATTTAATTCGTGATGCGTGATAGAAATAGATAAATTAATTAGTAAATTATGGGGATCATCACTATCAAATGGCTACAATTGACCAACTTCCAAATGTTTTCTACCAGCACACATAATAAATATTACACAGAATATTAAATAATATGATGCAAAAAATCTCAATCATTATTTTGACATATTTTTTATTATTGTCTTCTTTACAAGTTTTTGACTTTGCTACTTAACAACCCTGGATTTCAGAAAACGTGGTACGGTATGCACTTCTATCATGGATCACGAATTAATTATTTTATCAGCTCATATATTTCATATATTTCATTAAGAATATTACCATTAAAATTAGCTATATATATATTTCACGTGGGATCTACAGCTGCACAAGAGCAAACTTATAAGAAAAAAGAAAATTTGAAAAATCTTTGCACCTTTTATCACTGTTATGTGAATTCGCAATTCACATATGTGAAATATGTGAAATTCAAATTAGCCAATCAGAATTTCACCCCACTCCATAATAATTCAATTTCTATTTCAATTTCATATACAACAATCTGGATACATTTTTTTATATTATAGCCCGGAGAAAATTTTCCGTTCACCCACGTTGGATAAATATCTTAGCTCTGGACAAAATTTATTATTATCATCAATCTTTACAATACATAATATATACTATTTACTTTACTACTTGGGAAAAATTGTGTTTTCATTCCAATACAAATGGGATATATCTCTTTTATTCACTTTTTGGGGTGCCACCACCAACCTTTTGCATGAATTCCATAATGTAAATCAAAGTCTATAATACCACTAGATAATAATTGGACCGAGATTATTAAAAATAATCTATGATTATATTTCTAAAAAAAAAATCGCGAGAATGTTCTTTTTTTTTTAATTTAAGATATATTTTTAATAAGTTTAATATCCGGATCTGCATATTAATTTCTAATAAAGAATTCTGTTTTTAGTATATAATTCGACGGTCAACCGCCGAATGACCGTACCGTTTAAAAGGATAATTCATTGATATTAATATTGAGAATCATTTCCACACCTGGAATTTTCCGTTCTGCTGATAGATATGCACTTTATAAATTTCTCGATTTTTGAGTATAGACGATCTGCGCTGCTTAGTGGTTATCGAGCTTAGGAGTTTTTAAAGATAGGCAAATATTTTTGAAATTAACCAATCCAAGCTGCAAATTATTATGTGACGCGATGGATAAATAACCGATATTTAATTCAAGTATTATGATGCAATTACGCCTAAATTAAGCTTGGGGTTTTTTTTTTAAGATTTTAATAAATTATATTTTTTTTTTTATAAAGGAACCATCGTTTCTTAATAATAATAAGTAACTTCTAATAATAATATTAATAAAGTTATATTAATAATGACCAACACATCAAGCCCAGAGATCTCAGTATGCAGATTAAAAATTTCACTTGTATAAATTGCTAATGTTGTTAATGTTCTAATATAATTATTTACTCTATTAAACAAAAAGGATACTGAAAATGAAAACGAGACTCCTATTTCTCTTGATACAGATCTTATTGATCAGGAAACCTTTAACCAACTATTAGATATGGATGATGGAGAGGACGAAAATTTCTTATTAGACATACTCGATGATTATTACAAACAAGCTCAGGACACTTTTGCTGACATGGAAACAGCATTGTAGGTGAAATAAATAATGTTTTTGTAAATAATAAATACACTTTATTTATTAATTAATGAAATCTTGGCGAAAAAGAAAAAAAAAAAACCTTAAAAAATTATCAGACTTAGGCCATTTTCTAAAAGGGAGTTCTGCTGCGATGGGTTTAACTAAGGTTAAAGATTCTTGTGAAAAAATACAACACTGTGGAAATAAAAAGGATGAATCTGGTAAAAAAGATATAACGGAAGAAGATGCATTAATAAGAATAACTGATTTGTTAGTACAAGTAAGAGCTGAATATGAATCAGCAGAAGCACATTTAAAAGGGCTTTATAAAAAAGGAGAAAAGTCAAATAATTAATGGATTTAATTAACTTTTTAAAAAAATTGTCTATCAGAATAAATTTCTTCTTGTACATAAATTCGTTTTTTTTTATAAAAAAATAATATCGAATCAATTATTTATTTTCACATAAAATATTATTTTATATTTATAATTTATGCATTGTTTTAAAAACACAGTCATTAAATATTGCCTATATTTATTAGTAAAAAATAATTTATAGATTTTAATCATACAAATTAATAAATATTATTTATATATAATATTTATTTTTTTTGCCTTTTGCTTTCATTTATAAAGGCGTTAATCCTTTCCTTTAATTCTGTATCTAAAAGAGAAGACGAAAGCAATAAAATTGTCATTATAACAATTTCTTCATTAAACGTAGTAATAACTTAATTTTAATTACTTACTTGGTATAACTTGTTCAATTTTCAATGGCCTGCGATTAAATGGGTCAGTTGGATCGCTTAAAAGATGAGTCGTAATGGTACTTCTGTCAACTATTTGCTTTGATTCTGGTAAAGTCACGGGATCTTTCATAATTTGACACATAATCGGATCTAATAAAAAAATTTTTTCAATGCATTAGATATATATATATACACACACAACAACAATAATAACTCACCCATAAATTCATCTGGAATATCACCCAATTCCTTTTCATCAGCAGCTTCTTCCCTGATAACCTCCTCAACTTCGTTTACAAATTTTTCCAATTTCTTAATATCAGCATCAGATTTCATACCAAATTTATTCATAATACCTGCAGCTTTGGAAAACATTTCTTTCTTATAACTTCTGCCGTCTCTAGCTACAGCATATATAAATTCGCTATGTTTACACAGATTCAAAAAAACTGTTAATATCCTCGATAATAATTTTTTCGGTTGGAATCTGTATTTATCTGGATCTTTAACTTTGAGATCAATGCAACGAGGTCCTACTAAACACACTATATTATAATCCAACATTGCAGCTAATCTGTCAACTATTTCTGGTGTAAGAAATGGTTCAACCACTTCTGATGTCATATATTTAAGCATATGAACTGTCTCATTGCCAAGTCCCATATATGATGTGGCTTGTCTTTCCAAAGATTTAAGCAATGCCTCACGTTCTTGACGTCGATTCTAATAAACCGATTATTATTAATTAATTTAGTTCTAAAACTCTCAAATATTTATGTTGTAATATTATATATTACCTGAGGTTGACTATCCCACTGTTCCTTATTATCCATTTCAATTTGTATTTCATGAATTTCAATTAATTTTTTCAAGCTTTCGTCCAATAAAAATGTTGCATCATTCATTAATAAATTAACAAATCGAACAAATGATTCTGTTTTCCTGTTATAACACAATGAATGACATCAATAATGTTAAATGATAATCTATCAAAAGTGTGATAAATAATAATACTTACCTACTCTCCTCCTTTAATTTTTCTTTGTGTAAATTATTTTTCCATATCGTTTTAAATATTTGTGAAATATTATATCGAATATTGAATTTATCATAAAACTGCGTGTGTGCTCCAGTTTGTTCAACCTCTGAAAAAAAAAAATTATTTAATAATAGTTATAAATTTTTAAATTTTTAAGTTTGAATAATAAAATGGCTTAGCTAATACTAATATTGCTAATAGAACTTACCAACATAAAATTGCATCAAAGCTGCCATCAAATGATTTAATGAAATTGGATGTGTATTTAACAGAGCTTCAAAACTACCTTCTCGTTCACTCCTCAATGTAGAAAAGTATAAAATCTATAGAAACAAGTTAAATAAAATCCAATTATTAATATAGTTATTCTTACATATAAGATGATTACGTACATCTATAAACTTAGCCTTTAAATATGGATTCTTTATGTAAGATGGAGATTTAAGAAATGTGATAATGAAAATTAAAATTTCGTCACATGAGTTACTTAGAAAAATTCTTGTATTATATCTAAACATTAATCCCAAAATAAAATTTTTTTTAAATATTATTGTTTATAAATAAATTATAAATTATAAATTGATAATGTTATGATCTCAATATTTATTTACTTTGAAACAAATAGGAAAAATTCTGTTATATCCTCAATAATATATTCAGGTAACATTGTGAATTTTTCTGGTGGATTTGGTGGTAATGGCAGCCTTTGACAAAAATAAAATTTAAAATAAATTAATTGGAAAAATACGTCATAAGATACATACATATGTATATGTAATAATTATATATAAACATACTGTATTTGTTTTTGTGGATGCTTTTTTTCGGGATCCACAATCCTTAATACCCAATTCATTACCAAATTATAAAATTGGAAAGAATGTGATAAGGCAAAAGAATTCAATAATTGTGAATCATAAACAAATTTATGAGAAGCCCATTCCTCAAGTTGTTCCTACAATATTATTGTTAGACAATAAATATAATTTTTTTCTTAGATTAGTATTTCATCAAAAGTTTATGTTAAAGTGCTTACTTTGCAACGTTTCAAAAGTCCTTCGTTTAATAAGGCAGCTGGTGTCTAAATAATATATAAACAATCAATCAAATAATTTAATAAATAGAAGTTTATGAGAGTTCAATCATCATCATCTCTTCCTTTTTTACAATAATCAAGAAGGCTTACACCAATCCAGTTAGCTTGCTCGGCTTTCATTCTATCATATTGTTTTTGAAGTTCTGAAAGATCTCTAATTAAATTGTTATATTTTTCAAAACAATGCAAAGGTCCATAATGATGTATTGCTATCGTTAAAAAGAATATTTCCGAAATAAAATTTGGCGCTAATAGAATAAAGTATATTTAATTAAAAATCTATCAATTAATAATATTTTAGCAGTATAATTAATTTAAATATAAATATATATTTCTCTAACCATTAGTATTTTCAAGTGAAGAAGAATAATATGATTCAGAATCTTGTTGATTTGCATTGATTTTAGTCGCTTGACTGATATCAATTCGTTTGGATTTACGAAAATAATCAATGTCAATACGGTCGATCTAACGTTAATATAAATTTCAAATTGATAAATAATAAATAATAAACGATTACAAATAGATAATTGCAATTATAAATGAATCGAAACCTTTGAATATTGAGCATCCATAAAAGGATCTGCAAAATCTAATAAAACATTAGTTAAATTAACCAAAAATCCATCAGTTCCCACTTGTAATGGATCAACCTAACGACAACAGTAATAAATATGTTGAATGATTTAATTATTGATATAAAAATAATACTACAACTTTTTATATGTAATAAAAATCCATATTTAATTTAACCTGCATTTGCGCCCTTTTTTCATTCAATTTAATAGCTTTGCCAAAATACTCCAGAGCAGCTTCACGTGCTGATGCATCAGAACGAATGACATTATTAAATACTCTGAAAATTATTTTCTATTATATAATAGTTGATTAATACCACTGATTTTTAATCATTCAAATAATTATATATCATTGTGTATGTGCGTGTAGACGATTGTAATTTAAATAATAACCTGTATGTTTTGCATGGCAATTCTCAAATTTTCTATCCCATAATCAATATCTGACTGACGAACACGCTCAAGATTACCAAAATAATTTTCTGCAATTTTAGGCTAATATATAACAAACATATTAGAAAACAAGCCTATTTTATAGAAGTCAATATAAAAATAAAAAACAGAATTAACCTTATCCATCGGAAAAACAGATATACGACAAAATGGACCTAGAAGTGATTCTAATTCAAAGGATCTAGGTGTTGAGTAATGTGGGTTCCAACTTGGCAACAAGAAGAGCTATTTTTCATAATAAAAACAAAATAATTAAAAAAAAAATTTTTTTTTTGAACAAAAAAAGATTTGAATAATAGTTTTATGTTAAATAATTTACTCTTGCAGCTATAGGTTTAATATCCGTTAAGTTAGCAAATACCTAACAATATATTAATTTGATTAATACATGAAGATGCAAACCGGAAACTAATTGATATTTTGTTATTAATACAAACGTTCAAAAGAGGCAAATAGTCATTTAGTAGATCTTTTATACGCATTTGTGCTGAAATAGCTATCAGAGTTGGTGCAAATACCTATTAAATAAGTAATATATAATATGAATTAGAAAATAATAGTAACAAATAATAATACCATTATTTATCAGAATAAGATTCTTCAACTAACTTCTACAAAATTGTCGTTTTCAACTTTTAATGCGAACTCTTGAACAAATTCCCGTGGCATTCCTTCATTGGATTCGAAATCTGCTAGAAACCTTGGGATAAGTTGTTTAGGACCCTCACACTGATCAGAACTATTTATTTATTTATTTTACATAAATAAAAAAATCAAAATAATAAGTTGGCTAAATGAACAATATATTAATATGTTTTTGGCTAAAAAGAAATAGAAAAAAAAAAACAATAATAACTTTTGACTCGATGAAAATGTTTCCGGATATGTAATAGCTAAAACAGCATAATTTACAATTAAATCTTTAACATCATCTATAAATTTTATTCGTTCATTGACAACAGATTGTTCTAAATTCTGAAATATAATACCCACAAAAAAAAATATAATTATTTATTCTGAAAGTTGTCACTTTGTAAATTTAGAAAGGCTAAGATTTTACTTGATTAAATACCTTTGAAGAACGATTCATTATACTTCTTTTGATTTCAGAAGTTCTCTTCCAACAATCTAAAAGATAATCGAACGAAGATTTATCACTCAGATTTGAAATCGCAACTAAAGTTTCATCATCGTCAGTCATCTCGTTAGGATCAATAGATAGTCGAGTATATAGTGCATTTTCAAGATTAGATCTATTAAGTTTGAAAGAGGTTACTTCTGTTGAAATTATATATGTGTGTGTTATCTTTACATTAGAATATTACTTATTTCCAGACATTAATTGAAATGAAATGAAATTGACATTTGGTAATTGAATTAATTCATACCAGGGTTTTCCTTCTTTAATTCTTTCACGAGAGAATTAAGATAGATTATTTGACTTGGATTTTTTTCGGCTACCGATTTCTTTCAAGATTCCAATTTAAAAAAATAGCGTCAATCAATAGAGATTTATTGAAATAAATAAATAAATAAATAAAATTATTTTATTTCATTTGATTTAGAATTCTATTTTGAATATTTACATAAAAAAAAAATCCAACTACTCTAATGTCTAAATCTACAAAATTATTAACTTACATCAAGGGTGATTTGCAGTACTTTGGAGATGGCATCATTTTGCCAATCTTCAAAAGATCTAACTGGTTGTTGAGTTTTTTGCAAGTACGTTGCCGGTATCTTTTTAAAAAAATAGAAAAAAAATCAGTTGTAAAGATTTTTTTCCATTTTGGTTTTTCTGAAAACATTCACATTCTTAAACAAATGCCAAATTATTTTAGCATCAATTTGATAATGAAATTCTTGATCTAAAATCATGGTCTCACCGTAGTTTCCCGAGTTATATTAATCTTTGATGATGATGGTGGTACATTAGTAGTATTGGTAATAGTGGTTGGTTTTGGTGCTGTTATTTGTGTAGTTGCAGATACGTTTTTTTGTTCAGCATTTGATTTAGGAAAAACTATAGCACTCGATGCTGCGTTATTACTGGCAGATGAAGATGAAGATTCACTGTTGAATTGTTGTTGTAATTTTGCTAATCTTTTTAAACGTATCTAAAAAAGAATTTTTAAAGATCAACTAATTTTTGTTATTTGAACAAAAATTTAGAATTTTACCTTTTCTGCATCTGATGAAGGTGTTGGCTCAGATGTCGCTTCATTGACTACATTAGGAATTTTTCCAGTTGGATTTGGGTCCATATTTAATAAATAAAGATAACAAAAATTTAAAATTATTATTATATATAGCAAAAAACTATATTAATATTAATATCTTCGATACTAAATCCCCCAACTTATTTTTTGTATCACAATATATGTAGAATGATCTGAACTTCAATAGAATTCATTTTAACGGGCAAATTTGTAGATCATTTTATATTCAGTATAGGAGGATTGTGTTACGTTAAATTATCCAATAACCTGGCAAGATGATTAAAAGTCAAATTAAAATTTTTTGAAAAATTTTCGAAAAAGTCACACTTGGAGCTATTTTAAGATGACATGTTTTAACACATCTTGGGAACTTAGAAAATATTGTTCCATTTATTCTCAAATGTATATAAATTTTCATAATTATTGGTCGGAGAATTAATACAAAACGTAAAAAAAATCATAATGAATTTCATCAACAATTTGCATAATATTTTACATAAATCTTTATTAAATTTACATCAAAAGTACCAAAAATATAAATATTTCATTCATTTATTCAATATTTTGTCGGGTTTCCTCTTGAATCAATTACAGCTTGAACCTTTCAAGGTATGCTGTCTACTAATCAAGATTAGTCTACTCATCCATTAAATAAGAAGCCAATTAATTTGTACTTTTTGGAGGAGGAGCAATATTAGTTCAATCTTAAATGCTTTTATTGCACGAGTTACTTGTGACTGAGAATGATTGAGTGCATCAGCAATGTCATGAGTGCTTTCATCTGCTTCCCAACGTCCAATTATTCAAAGTCTGTTAATTGAGACACGATGTTTTAATTAAAATAACAAGACAAAAGTTTAATCTCTTTTTTTTAAAAAAAAGAAAAATTGTTTTGGTTAGATATTTCAGCCGCAATTGCCATTTAAAATTTGTTCACACATAACAGTAATCATCTTGCATATTATGATTTTTTTTACATTTTGTATTAATTCTCCATGAATATCCCACCAATAATTATGAAAATTTACATTTGAAAATAAACGGAACAAGTGTGACTTTTTTGAAAAATTTTAATTTGACTTTTAAACATCATAAAGTTATCAGCAACAATCGGTCCAATGTGATATTTTAAAATATTATGGGAATCATTTCAACAAACATTTTCTCACTAATTTACAACATCGATTTGCTTAGTAAAAAAATGAGTATTTGTATTATACGTCTATTCGATTATTTTTGCGGATCATCAAGTGAGTCAATACTTTTTTTTAGGGGTGTGTAGGTTACTACTATTAGAGGTGTGCCATTCATAGTAACCCTGATTTTTTTTTGCATATAGTGCATATCGTGTGCATATTAGCATAGTGCGCATTGTATATGTATCATATGGAGGGAAATATCATAAATGCGCATATAATAAATAAGTAATGGCATGTTTAAATTTTTTTTCCTGGAAATGTTATTAATAAATAAATATCTATAAAAAACATAGCTAAACCCTTATGCATAACATACTATGCATGGCACATCACTAGTTACTATACAGTAATAGTGGAAGCAAAAATAAAGTAGTAACAAGTAAATTATATTCTCTTCAAATGGATAAGACTGACCATTTTGTTTTCAATTAACTTGTATTAATACAATTTCCAACCCACAGAAGAATGAATCAAACGATCTGGAAGTCATGACAAATCAGATTGACTAGCATCTGATAAAATATTTGTAATGTAAATAGATGAAAAGATTAGCATGAATTTTAAAATTAAACATTAGAAAATTAATTGTATATTGTAAGAATTACTTTTCTTCACGAAAATAAATCAATATTATAACACGAACAGGTACTTTAATTATTGTAAAAATACAAGTTCCCTTTATTATCTTAAAAATGATGTCCTTTATATAATAAAATTACATAGATTGATATGATATAAATAAAATATAAATAATAATAAAAGATTGATAAAATATAAATAAAATAATCATAATAATTCTTATCAATCTATCCGGAAGATTTGTGGACATAGATAAGTAATAAATAATAAATAATAACTAAAGACACGAAATAATTGATGATACAAATAATGATTAATTATGTGTCACGTTTCCAAATGTAAATATTAATGTACTACATAAGACGTTGTATATGATTACGAAGTAAATTGTTACATATATATACTTACAATTATAACTATTGAAAATTGTGATTTTATCTGAATTAACAGGCTGTGGAAGATTTGTAAAATTAAAAATTCTACCAAACAGCATTTGGGTGAAAACTTGTTGTATTTATATTGAAGGATCATATGGTATTTGTCCATTGTTTCAAATTCTTTTTAATTCTTTAAATTGTTCTCAAGAATAATTAAACACTTTTAAACCAGCTTTTGTATTCCTGAGTGAATGCCTTCAAGAATAAATAATATCTTGAATCTTTTTTGCAATTGGTCATTTATTTGGATCAGCATCCATACATTGACATGCTAATTTAATATAAAACCTTGGTGTGTTGTTAGAGAATCCTGGCCTTAATCCTGTACATATACCTATTGCAAGAGCTGAATCATGATCCAAATTACTGAAGGGTCTTATACCAGTTGATATTAATGTCATGAACACATCAAAACTATATATATCAGCTGCCATTGTATATGGTTGACCATTTAGAACTTCTGGAGCAATATATGGCATTACCCTTATTGCACTATTTGATGATGTTTGATTTACTGGAATTGATAACCCTAAATCTGAAATTAATATTCCACCACCTTCAGAAGTATTTATTAAGATATTACTACTATGAAGATCACAATGAACAAGTTCTTTCTTATGGACATTGGATAAATCATTAATAACACTAGATAGAATCTCTACTTTTTTTTAAATTCTTTTTTAAATAATCATGAAGATTCCCTCCCTTATTTTGCATGATTCATTACAAATATAAAATCATTTGTAACTGGGTCTTTGTTATTCCATAAAGTGAAATTATAAAACTATCAAAAACAAATATAATTAAATTCAGCGACGATATATAAAAAAACTTAATAACTATAAAGATATTTTTACCTCATTTAAAAATTCATCTGAAAGATTTTGAGACTTTATTAATCTTTTTAATACAACAATGGCTGGATTTTTTTATTAGTCTTATTATTTATATATCTAATACCACCTTTACCTATCTCTTTAAGATCTATGAATAAATAAACAAATGTTTGATTTTGTTTTGTGCTTTAATTAGTTGAGCCAGATGATAACCATCATATATAAAACGGCCATTAATTTTATTTTTACCAGCACTTGTTAATTCATCAATGAATTCAAAATTGCATGGAAAGATTTTGAAAGCAAGTGTCAAATCTATGATGATTAATCAACTTATTACATCCTAAATCAGTCTTAAATTTTCAGATAGTTGTCTAAATACAATAAACTTAGGCCAATTACTTGAATCATTTTTAAAAATATGAAAAGCCAATTTGGTTCCAAATTCAGCATAATTATATAATGGTGGTTTCACCAATAAATCAAACTTCAATTATTCTTCAAGAAGTCTTCTGCTGCTACTGAACAATTAATCAATAATTTGATGCTGTTTCCTGAAATAAAAGGTCTTCCTCATAAATTGGGATATTGAGATTCTGCCATTTTTTACTAACAATAATACAAGGGGTATAGAGTTTTATAATCATTCTCAGGGTATTTAAATGTTTGTGTTAAAAGTTCAGGCGGTATTATCAACAACAAATTTCTTGTACCACCACTAGTATTTAGATTTAATTCATTCTAAAAAAAATAAAAGATGTCTTCCACTACTTCTCCTTCTCCTTCCTCTTCATCTTCTAACAAGAAAAAATTATCTGATCAAGGTAAGCAAAAGAAATTATAGGCAACTTGTTTTAAGAATTTCATTCTTTTAAATAACAATAATAATAATTATAAATATAATTTTTTATGGTATTAAAATTTCATTTTTAGAGGTGACTTTACAATTTAATGCATTGAAATCGGAATTACAGAATATAGCACAAAAACTAGGAGAACTAGAATCTGAATCTGAAGAACACAAGTACTTTTTTTTTTGGCTAAAAATATTTGAAACGAAATAAAATAAATAATAACTTTTTAAAGACAAAAGAAAAAAAAATCAAACATTTGGAATAATCATAACCATCTTTTATTTAATGTTTGCCCATTCATCTTACACCTAGAGCTGTGATTGATACATTGGCTCCATTAAGTGGTGATCGTAAATGTTTTCGACTTGTTGGTGGAGTATTAGCTGAACGGACTGTTAAAGATGTTTTACCAGCATTACAAACAAATTATGATATGGTAACTTATATGTGTGTTAATTTATAATAATAACAATAATAATAGTAACAGGGGGATTTTTTTTTTTAATTAGATTCAAGGTGTAATAGATCAATTAGTTAAAAATTATAAAAAAAAGGAAGAAGAATTTATTGCTTTTCAAAAAGATAATAATATTCGTGTCATCTCAAGGACATAACTGTAAACGAATGAGCTTTGATTTTAGTTTAGTTTATAAAAATAAAAATAATAATTTATTATTATTATTATTATTATTATTATTATTATTATTATTTAAATTTTATTTCCAAAATTTAATCAATTCTAATTAATCTATGAAAGAAAAATATTTGTTTTTTAGAAATTAAAAACCTCAGATATTATTATTGCTAATGCCAAGTATGATACTAACATATAACTTCTTGTCTTTAAAAGTTTCTTTACAATCACTTAAATTTATTCGAAGATCACATTGTATTATTATTATTTTGTAATTTAGACATGTTAACATATAAATAATCATTGGTCAATTGAACCATCCATTAACAATTATAATTATAATAAAATATTTTCCTGGTGGTTTTGATGGATCTTTCTACCTTGCCATCTAAGATAAAAAAAAAGAAATATTTATTATAAATATACATATAAAGATAGATCTTGTATAAAAGTATTGGCATATACGCACCCTCAATCTAATGCACATTTAATTCAGCCCAATATTAGCACAGCCCAATACATCCTTACCAGACCCAACCGTAGCAAGAATTTGTTTAGCCAAACCATTGTTACTGGTGAAATTGTTGAAAGTGTTAAAAATCGTCTTGTTACATCGAATGCAGATAGCTGTTGGATCAGCAACAGCAATCAAATCAAGAAATTAGAGATTAGGTAAGTTGACTAAAATGTCAATATCATCTTGAGCTATGCAAAATTTGTCTTCAGTGCTTTAAAACATATTGTTATGATTTCTAGTAATGGTTTCGCATCAGCTTTACATCTATCTTGGACAGCTTTATGAACATCTGGTACACACCATCATCTTGGTGTTTGACAGATGCCAGTAGGAAATTGTATATATAAGGGATCTTCAATTATTTTAAATTTTCTTATTGTATTGATCAGTTATAATTGATAAAGTACAGGTATTGCAATGTAAAAATTCTGATTTAATTTTATTTTAAAGATATCTCTTTAAATTACAAATCATGCCTTTAAAGAGCTTTTTCCTAAGGATTTATGGGAAATTATTTCAGACTATTATGTAGCTTCTGATGAACAATGAGCCTTAAACTTATTACCATCAAAGAAATCCAAAAAGTAAATCAATAATTACAGAACTTGAATCAGCAACAATTAATCAAAACTTACATTGCTTTGTTCAAGTTGGGTTGATCGAAAAAATTTACCATATAATTCGTCGAATATGAATTTATGACTTTATATTATAATAGTAGAGATGGTTTAAAATGTAATCATATCAACAAAATTCTTGTAATTGCAAAAATACAAAATTCAGATCAATTAGTTGGTGGTTATAATCTGCTTTATTGGGATAAAAGTTATTTTTTTGAATCCAGATTCAAAAGAACTACTGATAGTTTTATTATAGAAATGTGCACAATTAAGTTATGCAATTAGGGAAAATTTTCAAAAAATACCAAATTATTTATACATCATCTATATAGGGAGGGTTGCATTGCATGGCAATGGTAACGCGACATAGCAATGGTAACGCGACATAGCAATATCACAAAGGACTGTATGTAGTATGGAATTTACTTTGGAGAAAAAAACAGATTCAGTTTCGAATTAATACAATAAAACCACTCTAGAGACAAAACTTCGACATCCATTGTTGTTCCCTTGAGAAATGAGTAGTTATAGGATAAAATCGCTATTAATTGATATATATAATAATAATAAACTTGCTGATTGAACTTTAGCCATTTAAGAATGTGATATTGTCCGGGGTCGCACCCCAAAATTAGTGCAAAATAATGTTCGTGCAATCAAAAATGATAAAATTTTATTATTTCAGTAAAATTTCAAAATGCCAACACAACAAACTCCAAATACTATAGACGATCTGTTACAATACATTTCATCTACTGCAGAACTTGATAATTTTGATACAATTAGTAAACAATTAGCTCCAACTTTAAAAGAAATCCAACCACAAGTTTTTACGCAATCTACTTCAGATGATAAAGATCCTCTTGAGCTTTTGGATCCAAGTACTTCCAGTTTAGCATATACTTATTTTTTGTAGGTTAACAAAAAAATTAGATAGTTGTAATAAAATTTATAATCATTGTAATTTTTTTATTTTATTTTTTAATTTTATTAGAGCTGCACGATGTCATACTGAAGATCCAAATCCCACACGTTTAGTACAAAATCTTATTCAATTCTTGTCTGTATTTGATTCCAGACAAGTTCATTTGGTGCCAGATAAATGTATGCATCTATATCCACATAGCTATATATCTACAAGTATATAGATTAAAATCAATTAATTATATATTATTATAGTTCTCCAGGTTGTTCAAGGACTTACTAGATTAGCAACAGCATACCAAAAAGTAAGGAGTTAGCCATAATAATACTAATGACTTTTTTTAAAAAAAAAGTATCAAAGTATCATCTATAATTATAGTCATCATCATCATCATCATAACCATCATCGTCATGAATGAATATTTTTTAGATGTATTAATCATTAGTATTATTATTTTTGTAAATTAAAACAATTTTTAGAATTTTATAACAATTAAACCGATTGCAAATGCACTTTTAAGATATGCACCAAGTCCTAAACATTTGACAAATGTTCATCAAGTTTTTATCAAGGTATAAATGATTACTAAAGCCCTTCTCTTGTTTATTTATTTATGTTATATTTTTTGAATTTATTGATTTTTAATTACAATTATGATTATGAAGGAATGTTTGCTTTCAAAATGTTATAAACAAGCTCTTCAAATTTTAGATACAGATATTACAGAGATAGAATTAGTGGTAATCTTTTTTTTTTTCAAATAGATGTTTTTATTGATTTGATCTATATTGATAGAATTTACCAAATTTACATTTTTATTATTTTTGTTCACTAATAACATTGAATTAGGGAACTGGTATAACTTATCAAGATCATTTGCTTTATCATTATTATGGTGCAATGGTGTATATAGGTTTAAAGAAATACGAACGTGCCTTGTATTTTTTAAAGTTGGTAAGGAGCAATAAATTTTCTATATAAAAGAAATAATTAAATTAATCCTTTTCTATAAAAAAATTAATAATTAATTGATTAATTAATTATAGGTAATATCTGCACCTGCAGTTAATATAACCAGCCAAATTCAATTAGAGGCATATAAAAAATTTGTTTTGATTTCACTATTGCTGCATGGAAATGTAAATATAATTTTTTTTTTTTCAAGAAATATATTTTCCAAATATTGTTTATTATTTTATTATTTTAATTGATGATTATATTTTGTTAAAGATTGTGCCACTCCCAAAATATACAGCTTCTATAGTTTTTCGTTCAATTAAAAACCAATGTCAACCATATCAAGATTATGCATCAGCATTTGAAGCTTTGAGTGTGAAAAAATTGCGTATTGAATTCAATAAATCCATAGAAGTTTTTAAAAAAGTAATTTTTCAAGAAATTTTTTTTTTATAAACAAAAATGTACTTTTATTAAAAAAAAATTTTTTTTTTAGGATAATAATTTTGGGTTGGCCAAACAAACATTAGATGCAATTTATAGTCGCAATATTCAACAATTAACACAAACATATTTAACATTATCTTTAACTGATATTGCTGATACTGTTGGTTTGGAAGGTCCAAATGCACATAAAATTGCCGAAGGTTATGTTTTACAAATGGTGAATTGAATTTATTTTCTTAAAATAAGAAAATAATTCTTTTTTAGATTTAGATTTAGATTTATATAATTTTATTTTAATTAGATTGAATCTCGACAAATATTTGCAACTATTAGTCATTCTGATCAAAATGGTATGGTATCATTTCATGATGATCCAGATCGTTACAATACTTCAAATACAATCAGTAAGCTTGAACAACAAATAGACAAAGCTACCAGTATCAGTGAACGCGTTATTAAGACAGATAAAATTATTGGTTGTAGCAAGGAATATCTCTCAAAGGTCAATAAAATTTATTTGGCAATAATAATAATTAATATTAGTATTAGTTTATTAGTAGTAATAATAATATTTATTTATTTTTTTTGATTCTTTCCAGAGCCAAAGTTTACATGCAAGTGGTATAATGTCTGGTGGTCCTGGCGATGATCCAGAATTTTTGGTTGGAGGTGGATTTGATAGTTTTGATGATGGGAAGTACATGGGATAAAAATCATGCATTACTTTATCATTAATGAAATAATAATTAATTAATTTAAGATTTTAACCATAGTGCAGTGATAATGATAATATTATATATTTGTAAAGAAAGAATTAATCCTAAAAAAATTTATATACATTGATGATTTATTGTTGTTATTATTATTATTATTATTATTATTATATAATAAGATTTTCAAAATTTTAGGATTACCATTCAATTTGGTTTTTTTTATCAAGACTTTTGAATGAAAGATTCCCTTTTTTTCGTGTTTTCTTTCTTTGCCTCAATTTTCTTTTACCCTCCTATTGCTCCTCATTGTGAATAAAAAAGGAATTTCATTCAAATTGATATTGATATTAATTACTTTTTAAGATTATTCCGCTAGAAGAAATAAGTGTTGTTTGTATCATTAATTTTTCAAGTTAAATAACATTAAAATCGACTATATTTAAATATATAATTTTTTTAAAAATAATTAAATAAAAAAAAAGAAAGAAAAAAGGTAAAATTTTTTATCTCATTGATATATCAAAATCAAATGATATAACTTACAAGAAATTTGGCTACAAAATAACTATTACTACTCTCAAATTCTGATGCTGTTGTTACCGTTGATTTTGTTGATTTTGATGCTGAAACATTGTTGCCATTAATTAAGGTAGCACTAGTAGCAACGTTGGCAACTTTGGCCACTTCAGCAACTTTAGCAGATGATGACATATAATCGTGATGAAAATGATGGTGGTGGTGGTGGTGGAGAAGATGACGATAATGAGGCTTGTTTGAAAAATCTTGACAAACATCGCGTAGACGTTTATTATTCAATTTTGTTTCTATCTTCATACCATTATCATCTATATCATATAATGTTATTTCATAATTAACATCTCCATTATTTACTTCGCATTGAAGATCATCTATTCTTTTAGCTAAGACATAATTTGCCTGCGAATTGGGAAAAGGGTTGGTTAGAAAATCAACAATAGTAGTAATAATAATAATTTTAATAATAATAACAACAACAATAATAATATTGTATACAAACGTATGCATCAGTTGCTGCATATTCTTTTTGAGCCTCGCTAAGAAAATTAGATGACCAATTGCTCATTACAATATGACGAGGTTTTGCTATTTCATGATTTAACTTGTAATTTAGAGAAAACAATTTCATACTTAACACAGTTTGTAAGATTATTAATAAAAAAGTAAAATAAAATTTCTACATTAGTTACAAAATTCAATCCAAAAAACAACATACCAAAACTTCCACCATTTTAGATAACTTTATAATTCTTGATCTTCTATTTAGGAAATGTTCTTGTTTGACTTGTAAACAAAGTGAACTCAACTCCAATAAACTTTTGCATTTTATATTGTGACCTTTGAATAATCTTCTCGCGTCGTTATTTATATTACAACCAAGCTTATAAATATCTTTATTTTCCAAGATTCTATATAGAATTGATGGTATTAATTTCATACGAGCAATGTGAATTAGGTAAATGTTGGAGTCATCACACAGTTGTATTAAAGAAACTTTTGAATCTCGTATGAATGGATTCCATTCCAGATCTAATCCAAATGTTTGAGAACTTATTCACGAATGTGCATGCATATAATAATAATAATAATAATATTAGATTAAAAAATAATGCTATAAAATCACTATTTAAAATAATTGATGATGATGATGATGATGATGATGATGATGATAATAAACCTATTTTCATATAGCCATTCATTTGCTTGTTGCTCTGAGCTAGTGTACTTTAAAATGTATTTTTTATCTTTCTTATATGATAAAATAGGTAGGTTTGATTCCTCCGTTGTTGCAATAGTTGCAGGAATTGGATGTATTTGTTGTATCGATGATGATGATGACGGCGACGACGACGATGATGATAATGATGATGATGGCGATGAAGCTAATGCAACAGTAGAAGCTAGTTTGGTAGTAGAAGATTGAAAATCATCAATTTTATTGCCATTAATTCCCAAAGCAACTTGTCCAAAATATCTTTTTTTGCTGATTATAAAAATTTCAAATTTTCTTATATCGTTTCTTTTTATTTGTTGAAAAACATTGATATTTCTTTTTATGTTTTTACAAATAATGATAATAATAAATTATAGTTAATTGGTATTTTGCTTTAAGAAATAAAATAAAATTAATTTTTTTACCTGAAACACTTGAAAACATTCATCATTAATTTTTAAAATTTTTTTTTTTAAAAAAGTCGCGTTTATTTGTTTATTATAAAAATTTTTTCCAAAACAAGTATAATTACATTTATAATGTCACGAGTTTCCAAATAAAAAAAAATTGTCGCAGTAGAGAGAGAGAGAGATTATAAAAATACCACCCATTAAAAATTCAAAACTACAAAAGCAAATTATTTGTTTGACGCGCTCGTATAATAAATAAGGAAATCCGTTACAATGAACTATTCATTCTAACAAAAATGGAAAATAATAATCAAATTTTTGGCTGTATTGATTGGCTAATTCAAATTTCACGTGGATTGCAAATGCATTTGTTTTACAAATCATTAATTTAAGCAAAATAATCGGCAAATCTTTGTAAATAAAAAATACATGACCTTCACAAATTTTTTCAGTTTATAAAAATAAAAATAAAATTTCTCTCTCTATCAAAACACTGCAATGGAAAATTTTTTTGAAGAGGAGTATGAGGTAAATCATTATATATAATAAAAAAATAATAAAGAAGAAAGAAAATTATGATTTTTTGTTAATATTCTTTTTCCTCACAAAAATTTCATTTTAAAGATTTATTACTAATTTGTGAAACTCTTTGTATATTATTGCTTTATTGCTTTATTGATATATATACACGTATTTGTATATATGTAAAGGTTGAACAAATTGTAGATGAAAAAACTGTAAAAGTATGCCGAATTTTGAATTTGAATTTAAAAATGATTTTTTCTACTAATTTACATTATTATTTATTATACATGCATAGGGAGTTTTATTTTATTACATAAAATGGGAGGGATATGATCATTCTTATAATACTTGGTAAAGTATCGTTATTATCATTATGGTAAAATGAGTGTAATCTGTATAAATGGATATATGTAGTATGGAAGTAAATCCATGATTGAGAAATCTAGATCTGCTTCATTTAAAGTAACCATCTATTATAATTGATGTTTTATAACTTTAAAGAAATTTTCATAAAGTAAATATGTCCATGTTTCTAATATGAAAAAGATCTAATGCTCAAAATTGGCCAGGCGCAGCTTCTCTCAATTTACCATTTATGCTATTAATTCTACTTTATTACGATTATTATTATTATATTGCAAGATTGATTGACTAATTTTCATAAATATTCATTAGGGAACCATATGAACATCTTACTAATTGTACAGAACTAATTAAACAATTTAAAGGTGAGAAAAAAGTAAAGCCAGTTAAAAAGAAATCTAGATTGTCAAAACCAAAATCAAAACCAAAACCATTTTCTTTTGAAGAATTGCTTATAGTAAGTGTGTGAGAGAAAAAGCTTTTAAATATTTTCTGCTCCTCAAATATTACATCATCTAATCCGCATATATTTATTTACACACATGTACTTTATTTAGACAAAAAGTCAAACCAAAGGCGTTGTTGAATTTGAAGCTTTCCTAAATAACAATGTTAAGGATGGACCAATGATTCCTGTTATCAATGAGATAGATGATGAAGGACAACCTCCAAATTTCACCTATGTTGACTATTACATATATGGAAACAAAGTCCCCAAACCAGATGTTTTAAAATGTGGCTTAGTAGGTTGTGATTGTGAGGGTGGACATTGTAAAGGGAATGAATGTAAATGTTTAAAAGAACATAATCTAGGAAAATTAAACTATGAAAGATCATCACGAAAATTACGTCTGAAGCCAGGAAATGCAATATATGAGTGCAACTCTAGCTGTTCTTGTGATGCTAATTGTCATAATAGAGTGACTCAACGTGGACGTACAGTACCATTAGCAATACAAAGATTCATGGAGAAAGGTTGGGGTGTTGTAGCAATGAAAGAAATACCATCTGGTATTTTTATTACATATTATTATGGCGAGCTGATAACCACAGAGGAGGCAGATATAAGAGGTGCAACATATGATGAAGTTGGAAGAACTTATTTGTTTGATCTTGATTTCACATCAGAAGACGAATTAAATCTCTATACAATAGATGCCAGTAATTATGGCAACATATCACATTTCTTAAATCACTCATGCGACCCTAATCTAATTGTGGTGCCTGTGGTGAATGATAATGCTGATATAAGACTGCACCACATTGCATTTTTTACAAAAAGAGATATTAGAATCGGTGAAGAGTTAACATTCAATTATAATGGATCGCTTGAATATCCTGATGAAAGTACTAGTTATATAGCGGAAGATGATAATAATTTTAAATATAAATATATTTGTAAATGTGGTGCTGAAAAATGTAAAGGTTATTTTCATTCTTGAAATATTTTTTTGGTTTATATAAAAAATTCAATGATATATTAGTAGTGATTAAATAAATATAGAAATAAATAATAAATTTTTGCTTCTTAAATAAATATACTACTGTAAATATATTTTTTGACGTGAATATAATATAATACGACATAAAAAAAAATAGTAATTCAGAACATGATTGTAATATATATAAGCAACTTACAATATTTAGGTTAAATATAGAGAATGCAAAACGTTTTTTAGAGCAATGTCGACATTAATGGACCTAAGGGCGCAAACATGTGAACACTTGAGGGCTACTAATATGGCATAGCAACAATAGGATCACCAAATAAGGTTACCTAATACTATATAGGTTATTTTTTGATTTAACTAATTCAGGTTGGTATTACTTAAAAAGGAAAAAGATAAACAATTACGGGCAAATCTTTCCAACAGTTACGACATAGCCGTAACTATTATTTATAGTTCGGTAATATGTCTGCACTCTTAGGCAGCAGCATATCCAGGTTAATTGGGAAGGTTAAAGTTGTCAGTTTAAAGATTATCACAAAGAAAGATATTATAGCCAAAATACTTGTATGTTTAACATAATGTTAGCACGACGTTGACTAACTTGTGCTTTTTTTAATATTTATTATCACGTGTCGTGTAATGTCAAATTGTAGTTTCAAAAGTTTTGAGAGAGATATTTAGCAAATTAATCAAAAAAGCAATCGAAATTTTCACATGGAATAAATAAAAGGTCGATTGTCCACGTAACTGATTATACTTGCATTAGTTCGCATAATTTTTAAAAGATAAAATCAATGTGTGAAATCAATATTTTTTTTCAACAATTGTAATAATTGTTTATTTTTGATATATATAGACACGTACGCTTGAAAAAATTGTTTGTATCATCGGTTGATGGTGTAACAATCACATATATATGCAGGATGGACGATAGATCGATCAAGATTTTTTTTCTAAAGCAAAAAATATTTCATAAGACATTAAAAAAAAATGACTGTTGTATCTTCCTTAACTTATTTTTTCTTGTTTAGTGATTTTAAGGAATCGAATTTCCGACACGTGTATCGGTAGGTAAATTGCCATTTTTCACCATTACCATCGGACCCGGAATCAGATATGGCAATTTGGTTAAAATTCAATTGGAGCTGAGATTGATGACTTGCCGCAGTACTTTTGTTGTTGATGGAACAAAGGAAAAGTCTGTAATGGGAAAATTAGCAAACGTTTTAATGGCTACTTATCGGACATGAGAGATTGTCTTGAGATTAATGAAACTCGGTTTTAAAAATACAAAAGTTGGCGAGACAATACAGAAAATCGCATAAATTTATGGCACAAATTCTGTATAACATTTTATTCAATTCAGATGTAGTGAAAAGTGACAAGAAAATAGAGGACGAAGAAATTTAAAATTATTGGCTGCTAACTTAAAACCAAGAAGAAGAAGAAGAAGAAGTGGAGAAAAAGGAGAGGTAGCTTCTACTGCGCAATATTAAAGGTATCATATAAATATGATAGATGTAAATATATATTTCCTTCTTTTTTGTTACCTCTCTCCTTTTCACTTTCTCGCTTTATTGCTAAAGCTCATTTTTAAATATTGTTCGAAAGGTTAATTTGCTGGAAAAGACTTCAGTGACATGCCTATATGAAAAAGCAACAAGTTCAGGATGTGAATCACATAAAAAATTCAAATTAATACGTTTTATAAATCTAATATGATGTTAATATGTTAATATTAATGTGTAAGAAATGAGTAGTAACATTTGATTTGCCATTCATCAATATTTTAAAATAAATGGTAGATTCTCTAGCAAAAGGTAGCTTAAAGTGCCCATATGACCAAAAATTGAGATTTTTGCATAATACATATTTATATTATATATCAAACATATGTGTAACATACTTTTGCAACTTAAAAAAATTTATTATTAAACTACCTTTTGACCAAATGGATTCAACAATTTTGGAAAAATATTTTAATGAAAATGAAAGACTATTAAATACAGAAGATTTTTATGATGTAAAAATATATCTTGGTGTAGAACCAAACATTAAAGAAATTCATGCGCATACATCTATCATATGTGCACATTGTCCATTTTTTAGAAATGCATTAACTAATGCAACAAAGAAAAACGGGTATTATATTATTGAAAAAGCCAATATTAATGAAAAAGCTTTTGGCCCTATTCTCAAGTAAGTTTAAATTAAATTGTTAATTAATTATTATTGTTGAGTTAATAATAACATTTATTTATTTTGAAAGGTTTTTGTACACATGTAAGATAGAATTAGATAATTATACTGGAGTTGATATTTTGCAAATATTAATCACAGCTGATGAACTTGGCCTTGAGTTGCTCTACAATTATACAATGAACTACTTTATTGAAAAACATGAGGATTATATAAAAGAAAATACAGTTCAAATTCTACAATCAGTTTATTCTAATACTAATGAACAGTTTATGGAATTGAAAAGTATCTTCCTAGAAAAATTTTGTGATTTCGGCGAAAAATTATTTGAATCAAATGAATTTAAATCATTAGAAAAACCAGTTTTATTGGAGATTTTTAAAAGGGATGATTTTTGTATTGATGAAATAGTTATTTGGGAAAATATTCTTAAATGGGGATTAGCAAGACATCCAGAAATCAATAACAGTGAAATTAAAAATTGGTCACCACAAAATTTTGTTGATATGGAAAATACATTAAAAGAATTTATTCCTCTAATAAGATTTCAAGATATTCCTAAAAAGGATTTTTGTTCTAAAATTATTCCTTATCAGAAGCTTTTTTCAGAGTTATTTTGGAATGACCTTTTACATCATTATATAATGGATGCTAATCAGCAAACGTTGAATTTATTACCATCAAGAATTCCAAAAATTCAATCATTAACAATTAACCAAGAGCTTATTTTGCTTTTTGCAAACTGGATTGATAAAAAAATCCCACAATATAATTCATTCAGAGATCTTAAATACGAATTTAAACTTATATATTGTGGTAGTAGAGATGGTTTAAATAATACTACATTTCATCAAAAATGTGATAATATCAATAAAACTCTTGTAGTTGGCAAAATACAAAACTCAGATCAATTAGTAGGGGGTTATAATCCACTTAATTGGAATTTAAATAATGGAGCTGGTACATGGAAAAGTACAACTGACAGTTTTATTTTTAACATTATTGATAGAAATGATATTTATACTGCACAGTTTAGTTATGTTATTAAGAATCATGATAGAGCAATTCGCTGTCAATCTTCATATTTAGCTATTTTTGGTGGTGGTCATGATCTTCGTTTTGAATCAAATAATACTATTGCGAACACTTGTTCATCTTCTTATAATGACATTAATATAATAAGTGGTAGTAAATATGATGAATTAGAAGTATTTCAAATAATTGATAAAAAATAAAATTAGAAAGGAATAATTAGTATTATTTTATTTTGTTTATATAGCTAATAGAATTTTTTTTATTTATATAAATATATTAAATTTGTAGAATCCCACGTAATAATAGCATGTTGCTTAGCAGTATATATCCATAATTTTATATCACTGGCTTTTATTCATCTAAATCAACGGAAAAAATGTAAAAACAATTGAAATAATCAAAATAAAATTCAATAAGATCACGATTTTGCAGGCCATTGAAAATAATTCATTTAAAATTCGTTATAACAAATTACTAATCACGTAATAAGATTCGTTGAAGTGGAGTTTGACTGTATGAAATTTCCTCGGATATTTATGAGAATTAAAACGAAGTTTAAAAATCTTTTATTGAGTTGAGCTAGAGTTTCTATTCGTAATGTTAATAATACAAGTATTAGTATTAGTTTGAATTATTTGGGGGATTTCTTTATTCGTTTTATAATTATTCGTTTTATTCAAGCCACAAGTTATTATTATCCTTTTCTATTTAAAAATATTAAAACAGGTCAAAAATTTAAGGTAATGAATGATATGCGGAGAAGAAGAGACTTTATTCTTGTCCATAATTTTTTAATTATCCGATATCTACTGAGATTAATTAGCCCAGAAGTATACTGAGCGAACTTAATTTTCTTTTGCCTTTACTTTCACTTTTTGATTAATATATTCTTCTTTATTCTCATTAAATGTACTAATTGCTATTCCAGTTTAGTAACATCATTCCCTCTCTATTTGCTAATTGCTTGGCTTTTTAAAAACATAAATAGTCAACTTACCAAACGCGGATACATAACATACGTCCACTCTATGATAGTTCTTTGAAATTTTATTATATTCTTAAAAATGACTGAGAAATTTATAATCATTTTATTTTTATTAATGATTATATTAGTTATTAATATATATATATATATAAAGCAATTATTTTACCTAATAAACGATTAGAAATGGTAAAGATTCAAGAAGTGTTGGAGAAACAATGAAAATGAAAATCCAAAAAAAAAAAACGTAATGATGGGGATGTAAAATATCCGCCTTTACTTATTGAATTAAAAAATTTGCCAAGATGCAGAATATTAGTAGTGGGAGATGTAAAAACAGGTGCTTTAGCTGCGCCTAAAGCTACTGCCCGAAACTAGCCAGTATAAAGACTGGGTTCAATTATCTGCGGTGGGAGATGGTTTGCATTCCTATGCAGTTTTTTTACTTGGTAAGAAATTGAACAATTGATGATTCAATTAAATTCATCTTTTTTCGATAATTAAGATCAGATGTTCAAAGGTTTCATTTACACCCAATTATCTACGTTAACAACTCCATTGTAAACATATATAAGAAATCAACGATTTAAAATATTAGAATCATTCAAAAATAATCTTATGTTGGAAATGCCTTAAATACATCAGAGAAACACTTTCTTTTTCAAATAAATGATATCATCACCAGATTTTTTTTTAGTAAAATGAGCTTTAAAGCTTTTAACATCTCCTCCATCTATGCCAACTTTGATTTTCCATCATAATAATCATAATAACAATATATTACTATTACGTCTGATATAAGATTTGACCCATCCTTATCAGTCAATGATAAAATAATTAAGACATTTGGAAATGTTAAATTTTCCGTTCGAAAATTCTTATTAATTCACATTGCCTTTTTAATAGTATTAGTATCTTACTAATTAGATTTACCGACTGCAGAAAATTTTAATATTAAAATGATGACATTTATTTTTAAATAAAATTAATATAATGCTTATAAATGCTATATATAATATAATAATTATTTAATAATACAGAGTAAATTATTTTAAATAAATTAATTCTTTTTTACTATTTTATAAACTTCACATTCTTCTATTAAATGGACTTGACTGGGTTTATTTTTAAGTTTTAAATCATATTCATAAGAAGGATAGTAACCCAAATAATAATAAGGTTTATTATCAGTGCTATTCAATATCTGTAAATCCACAAAATTCATAGTAATTTCGTGAAAATTTATATTCTCTACATTCATACTAATCACTTGTTGATCATGAAATATTGCATATTTAATATCAATGACTCTACTTAATATTGAATTATTTATTTGATTTTCATCAATCTTAAAAATAAAACTTTCATCTGTTTCGATCCAATATAGTGAATCTGGAGATTCTCCACTTATATTCCAACAAACTGGATTATATCCACCAACTAATTCTCCTGTATCTTTAACTTTCACAATGACTACAGTCTGTTCAATATTATAACATTTTTCTTCAAAGACAGATCTAGAAAAGCCATCTCGAGTACCTTGAAGAATTAATTCAAATTCATAAGATACATCATTTTTGTTAATCCAACTTGAAATTAAACGTTTTTTTTTTAAATTTAATAAAGTTACTGTTCTTGTTCTTGGATCTTTTTGAAGTAATAATCTTGGTTGCCATTTATTATTGCCAAGATAATATTCAAAGACTTCTTTATAAATTTCTTCATCAAAAAAACTTTTAAATGGCTCGATTTTATTGTGAAAATCAGTTAAAGCAATTTGATTGAATCTTATCAATGGAATAACATCTTCTAATATCTTCTTCATCTTGATAAAATCATCTTTGTTCCACACTGAAATATCTTTTTCAAATTCTTCACTTTGTCCCATTCCCCATTGAATAACACGATCCCAAATACTAATTTCTTTTACTTCTAAATCATCTCTTTCCAATATAGACACAAGTGTTGATTCTTCAATATCAACAAAATCATCAGATTTGAAATATGTTTCTGGATTATCACTAATTAACTCATCAAAATAATCATGAAGTAGGTTGAATGATTGATGATGTGATGAAATTTTATGAACATAAACTAAATTCTGTTGAATCCATTCTTTCTTTTGGATGATCAAGTGATTTTGTAAATCTTCAATTAATTCATTAAAGCCTAATTCATCACATGCCTCAAGAAGTTCAAAGTTTTCATTTTCATCCAGATTATCTATATTAATGGTCCCATTGTAAATATATCTATAAAATAAAGTAATTTTAAATTATTTATAATTAATCATTCAATTAATTAATTGATCAAGTTAAAATAATCTTACATTAAAAGAGCCTCAAATACATTTGGAGAAATATTTTTTTTTTCAAATAAAATGATACCATCATCAGATTTCTTTGCCCAATTATTTGATAAAGCAGCCTTAAAATATGAAGATCTTGCTTTTAAAATGGTAGAATGAGCTTTAAAAGTTTTAACATCCTCATCCATTCCAACTCTAATTTCTACATCATAAAAATCTGATTCATTCAATAACTTTGTTAAATCATTTACAAGTTTACTAGTATATTTTAGTGGTAGGGCATAACCATTTAAATTTGCTAGACTATTAAATAATGTTTGAATATTTTCTACTGATGAAAAACTGCTGGACATTTTTAAAAAAAAATTTGATAGAATATTGGTTTGTAATGTGAAATGAAATTTCTAAAATTCATACACGTGAAAATTAAATTAGCCAATCAAAGGAATTTCGTACCCAACTTCAAAACAATATCACAAAAAATTTATTGTTATTAAATAAAAAAGTAAATAGTTGCCAAAGGCAAGTATAGATAACTTTCAGTTGAAGTAGATAATGTACTAACTAGACTATGTTAAATATTTCGATATTTCACTTATTCCTGCTACAATATTTTTTCAACATATTATGGACAATTAATTAATTATTAATTATTATAACTATTGATTGGTTCATACTAAAAATTTATTGAAACATTTGCTTCAGAACAAAAATTTTTATAGGTCGTTTTATCGTGGTTCTATATTTAATGCAATAAACAAGAAACTCTTTAATAACCCCTTTTAAATTGAAGGAAAGCAAACAATTGCGATGAAAACAGAAAATATCTTTTTAATCAGGATCCCATGAAATAAATATCTTCAATCTCTAACTGTTCTCTTCAAATTGTAATACAGTGTCTTGAAACCATTTTTTAACACACATATAACAAACGTCGCAGGCAGATGGAGTAAACACATAAACACCTATAACCTAATAAAACTAATAACACATTTCAAACATCTATCTTCACTGTCCCTAAAATTTCCAGATTAAACCTAGACCGTGAATAAAACCATCTATGAAAATTTCTTGACCTAAATCTTTACAAGGCAGTAAAATATTTTTGAGGATGGAGGTTGCGATATAGATTTTTTGTATTTCTTTAGAAAGATTCTGCAAATGACAATCTGCTTCCCCTTTCTACACTTAACTACCGAATTGTTTTGCAAATATACTAGAATTTCTCTTGGTAAAAAACTACTAAAATTATTGCCAACTGTTTCGCGAGGAATTTAAATCCTGGAAACTCGAGGATTTCCAAAAAAAAAAAAAAAAAAATGAAGGTAACAATCAATAAACTTTAAAATTATGTTGATCACAACAAATATTTTTTGCTCTATCTAAAATTATTTTAACTTATTGTTATAACGACTTTTTAAATTTGACCATAGATTATTTAATTTGATTTTATCAACTATACAAAGCTTTCACTTTGACATCATGTATGTAACTACTTCAAATCAAGAAAAACCAGCAGAGTAAGTAGGAAAAAATATCTTTTTTTTTGTGGAAGGAAAACAATCTTGAAAATATTTTATTAAAAAAAAAGATATTCGAAATCTGTAATTTTAGAACCCAAACTATTACTGAAAATAGATGGCCACCTGATTTAAAGCAAGTATTTCCATTTTGTTATTTATAACAGCATTATAATATTATTATTACTCTATATATTAGTATATATGTTTCTTTTCATTGATACTTATAATTTTATTAATAGGGAATATCTGAGAAAAAGTTTCGATGTCGTTGCCTCAGACAATACTGATGCTGTTGAAAGAGAACTTAAAATTTTAATTGAAGAAAAAATTAGAACAAACCAAATGTGGACTACTGATTGGAAAAACATCGAATTACCTCCAAGCTGTTATGCACCAAGGTAAATTTGGGTATTGTTAATTTTAATTTTGCACTCGAAAAATATTTTAAAAGGCTCAAGTCTTTCCGATATTTTTTTTAAAATAAATAATAAACTAAATTTTTCTATTGATTAGTCCAAACAAAGAGAGAGATAGCAACAAACGAAGAGGGTATATATTTTGAAGGTTATTGAATATTGTTAATAAATTTTATTTATTTGATTCTAACTCTTCTAGTAGATCACCTGAACAAGATATAGGTGATAGTGATATCAATGAACTTGATAAAAGAGAGAAACGTGCAAAAAGATTTCAAGCACATGATAGAACGAATAAATTACACTGGGAATCTAAGGAACCAGTAAAGTTTTTAGAATGAATAATAACAAAATGTTATTTTTTTGATTATTCTTATAAAAAAAGCCTTTTGTTTATAAATGTAACATAGGAATTAGATGTAATAAACATGGAACAAACTATTGTTGGAACTTGTCAACAACTTGAAAAGCAATATTTACGTTTAACATCAGTGAGTATTTATTATATATTCAGTAAGACTTTGTTGTAAGTATTCAATTTCTAGTCTATGTCAAATACATTTAAATTTATCATTATCAGGCACCAGATCCTTCAACAGTAAGGCCATTACGTGTCTTAAAGAAAACAATTGAAGTTTTGAAAAATAAATGGGCAGAAGAAAAAAATTACACATACATTTGTGACCAATTTAAATCTTTACGTCAAGATTTAACGGTTGGCTAACTAACAGTCTTGATTTTTTTTTTTTTTAAAAAAAAAAAAAATAGTAATTAAAAATTTTATTTATATATATATATATATAATGAACCCAAGGTTCAACATATCCAAGATGAATTTACAGTTGAAGTATATGAAATACATGCTCGTATAGCATTAGAAAAGGTTATTATTTGATGTTATATATATTTTTGGAATATAAAATGACTTTAAATACGTTGTATTTGGATATTTATTTATTAGGGCGATGTGGGTGAGTATAATCAATGTCAAACACAACTAAAGGAACTTTACAGATTAAATATTCCAGGTCAAATGATAGAGTTCATGGCATATAGACTCCTTTACTTTGTGTACACAAGAAATCGTTCAGGTAATCTTTATATCATATTATATTAACATAGATTCTTTTTCAACGTTATGTTTAAAATTAAAAAATAATTGTAATTGCATTATTTAGATATTAATGCATTAATAGCTGAACTTACTGATGAAATGAAAGAAAATAAAGCAATTAAACATGCATTAGATGTCAGGTCAGCATTGGCTACATCAAATTACCATAAATTCTTTGATTTATATTCAAAGGCGCCTAATATGGGAGTATATTTGATGAACCTTTTCGTTGAAAGAGAAAGAATTGCTGCATTGAAAATTTTATGTAAATCGTAAGTAGCGTTTAATATATATATTTTTTTTTTGATGTTACTTATTTCTAAAAAAATATTTTATATTTACATTATAAAAATTTTTTTTTTGATCCGCAGATTTAGACCAAATTTGGATTTAGAATTTATACGTTCTGAATTAGCCTTTGAAAATATAGAAGGATGTATAAAATTTCTTTCAGATCATAATGCCTCTCAATATATTATATCAAATAGCACATTAGAGACTAAAGGTGCACAAAAACCAATTGATGCGTGTAGTAAGAAATTTGAAAAGGTTGACATCAAGGGACAGATTTGAAATTGAAGTCGCTGCCAATAATAATTTATTATTATTTATCATCGTCATCATCACCATCACCATCATCATCACCATCATCATTGCCAAAAACATACATTTTTTTCTTTTCCTCCTCTCTCTCTCTCTCTCTCTCTCTCTCTCTCCATCCATAGAGGATATATATAAAGTGACATTCAATCACCATAATTATCATCATTATCATTATCATCATCATCCATCATATTCATTAGACAATTAATAATGGTAACCCAATCAATAATTGGTGATATTATTTATTCTTATTGATGCTGATCTCTGATTAAAAAATATGGGCTTTATTAAATTCAATAATCTTTTTTTTTTCAAACAAAAATAAAGCAGAATGTATTTATTTTCTTGATTTTATTTAAACAATAAAAAAATTTTTTTATATTATATTTTCTAAAAAATATCATTTTTTTTTTCATATAAAAAAATAAAATTATATACGTCAGTTTTTTGCGTGAAACGCATACTACTGCGTCTAATCATAAAATCCTAAATTTATCAAATCCTTCTTCTGCTATCTGAAGTCCCCTTTTTATTTTTCTATTCTTTGCAAGGTATTTTGCCCATTGTGTTGATATTAATATTACAATTACTAAAATTTTCAATATCCCTGATTTTTTTTTCTCGTATTTTTGATTTTCATGTTTCAACAAATTCAAATAATAATAATAAGTAGTCCTCCTGATAAATATCCGGTTTATCCGTCAATGATTAATTATATTAATAATAACAACAACAACAATAATAAAACCTCGTTATTCCGTATAACGAACGTCTGGTGAAATTTTTTTATATATTAGTAATTAATTACGATAATTACGTATTACGACTTACGGTAATTAGGCAATTATCATCTCATGTATAATAAAAACACTTTTGTAGTCAGAAATTAAACAGTATGTTAAATTGTTCATTTGGTTGTTGGTATAGAACTGAGGTTTTGTTTATTTGCTTTGGTATAAAGCAAAAGTTTTGACATTGGTTAACCGGTGTAGTGTTAACAGCAGTTTGCATTAATTTCGTAATTACGATATTCTAATATTTGAAAGATCCGAATTATCATCAATATTTCGTGTAGAAAAGTTTGATTAAATAGGTCCTGTATTAGTGTCATAGAATTCGCATCAATTTGCATCACTACTTTGGTTTTAAGCAGGGACTTCAATTAAGAAGTCAGGTTAATTGTTTTGAAAAAAAAAATTTGTACTATTTCCCAACCTGATTTTTAAACTGATCACATGACTATAAAAATTCTCTTTAATTAATTAATTAATTAACACAAGAAAGAAACGAAACATTTGCCGTGTCACGACTATTACTATGACTTCCTTACAAGCATATGGGCTATTAACTATTAGCTTTATAATAAGTTTTTCGCTTACTTTAATTTCCTTAACATCAATAACATGGTAAAGTAAATTTTATAATCTTGGCATGCGTTGCATAATGTTTAATATAGAATAATGTTTTTTTTAATTATTGTTTTTATTGTTTTATTTTTATTGTCTAAAGGATAACATATGAAAGCGCAAGACCAAATCGGTCAGTTACAAATTATGGTTTATATAGGGTAATTATTAATTAAACAACATGAATTATATATAATAAACATTAACAAGAAAAATAAAATTTTAAATTTAAAATATAGAAATGTTCAAATTTTTTAACTGACGGATGTCGTGCTTTTCCAGATGAAGCATACGGTGATTGTGATGAAGAAGGATTCTGTGAAGAATGGATGGCAGCAAGAACTGATATAGTCTTGGCTACTATTTTAGATGGAGTTATATTTTTGCTTTTACTGACGTTTTTTATTGGTGGAAATAGTCTAAGGAAAGATCATTGGAAGTTGATTACTGGATTAATTATTCTTGATTGTAATTATAATATTTCTCACCAACTCTCTTTACCAATATTTTTATAATATATATATATTAATAACATGTGTGTATGTGTATATGTACAGGTTTCCTTCAATTTTCAGTTGTGGCATTGATATTTCATGCATATAAAAATTCAGAAAAATTTATTTATGGATTTAGACTTGACACAAGTTTTTATCTTGCCTCATTAGCAGCAGTATTAAATTTAACAAATGGAGTTGGATTTATTGTTTATTCAGTCTTCCTTCAACCAAAAGAAGAACAACAATCAAATGACGCTAATAATGATAATGGATATGAACCAATTAATCAATCAGATGAGGATGACATTGAATTTAACCGACCTGTTCCTGTTGACTTGGAAAATAATAATGAGAATATTAATAATTAATTTTTTATAAGAGCAATTATTGATGGTAGGAAAAAATGGTTCTAAAAATAAATGATTATTGGAACATTCATTTCATAAAATAAATTTTGTAGTTTATCATAATTATTATTAGTCATTTATATTATAATTTAAATATATATATTTTTTTAAATAAAATAGTTTGTAGTAATGTTGCACATACCAATGTGTTCTTTGACAATCGTCTCATATACTATGTAATCAAACTTTGTTCTATGTCTTTAACAAGTAAAATTTGTTGTGCTAAATCGGAATCACCCAATAATTGATTGTGACCATATTGCCGCTGCTGCACCAGCCGGAGTTTTCTAGCCACAAAAATATGTTCTTTATAGTTCAGACAGCATTAACATCACAGTTCCAGGGTCCAGCACATACATGTCCAGAGCACCTACAACTGTTGAGGTTTACTAAATAACCCTTCACATTCGGAACATATTCTGCTAGTTCTAAATTCTAAATTCATCAATAATTTTTACTCTGCATCATTTCCTTAACTCCCATATCAGCTGGACCAGCAGCATGTCCTTTAGAACTTGATGAGAGTGGAACGTTATAAAATGGAAAAATTTTTACTAAATAATAATAATATAAAAAATTAGTATCGTAATATTTACCCAAATAACGGTTTTCTGGTAATCCTCCTCCTACACACTTTAGACAATAAAAATAAAACAATAAAAACAATAATTAAAAAAAACATTATTCTATATTAAACATTATGCAACACATGCCAAGATTATAAAATTTACTTTACCATGTTATTGATGTTAAGGAAATTAAAGTAAGCAAAAAACTTATTATAAAGCTAATAGTTAATTGCCCATATGCTTGTAAGGAAGTCATAGTAATAGTAATGATAAAGATAATGGTAACTATTATGAATAAAAGAGAATTTTTATAGTCATGTGATCAGTTTAAAAATCAGGTTGGGAAATAGTACAAATTTTTTTTTTCAAAACAATTAACCTGACTTCTTAATTGAAGTCCCTGCTTAAAACCAAAGTAGTGATGCAAATTGATGCGAATTCTATGACACTAATACAGGACCTATTTAATCAAACTTTTCTACACGAAATATTGATGATAATTCGGATCTTTCAAATATTAGAATATCGTAATTACGAAATTAATGCAAACTGCTGTTAACACTACACCGGTTAACCAATGTCAAAACTTTTGCTTTATACCAAAGCAAATAAACAAAACCTCAGTTCTATACCAACAACCAAATGAACAATTTAACATACTGTTTAATTTCTGACTACAAAAGTGTTTTTATTATACATGAGATGGTAATTGCCTAATTACCGTAAGTGCGTAATATTAATATGTAATTATCGTAATTAATTACTAATATATAAAAAAATTTCACCAGATGTTCGTTATACGGAATAACGAGGTTTTATTATTGTTGTTGTTGTTGTTATTAATATTCTAATTCGGACGATTCGGCTCTTCTACTTGTCATCTTGGTATAATTACCTTTGAGTGGAATCACGAAAATTTCGATTTAATCTTCGTGATATCTTGAAAATACTCCTTCCAACTCACATATCTGATCTTTGATTTGGGTGTCCAGTTAACTGCATTTGAATCCAAAGTAAAAGTTGCGAAACCACACTCGTGTAATTTGAACTTGCAACTGTAAATATCCTAAATATAAAGAATATTTTTATCTTGATTACTTTGTCATCTTTGTAGTCACGTAATTAATATTAACGGAAAAAGTTTGATTGGTGATTATTTAGAAAGCAAGTTCGTAAAAAAAAATAGAATAATTCAATAGATCAATCTTCAGCTAGTGGATATAACCTTGGCTTATATATATAGTACGTAGATTTAGATGAAGCACTTGAAGAAGTCTATTTAAAATTAACAAAAGAGGAAGTAAACGAGAAAAACGATAATCAAAAATCCTATTGAAATCAAAAACTAAGGATGTATGCACTAATAAAAAATTAGTCAAAAATTCATTATTAAAACTCTTCACGAGCTGGCTTGCGAGCCAAATAACTTATTCATGCGGAACCTTATTCATTATATTAGGTAAGGCTCCGAACAGATCAGATCAAAACCAGACCATATCGGATCCTATTAAATTGAAATCTTGAAGAATGTTCACAATATGCCGTCCATCGTACATCAGAACTGGTGTCTGACTGGTAACTTTCACAAACTGTGGACATGAAGTGCTTCCAGCTTCCTACTTCCAATCATAGTGACAGCGTAACTTCAGATATATAAAAACTCAAATTACTCGTTGGGAAATCTCACCTTATTCCACGACATTCGATACCTATGTAGTAAGTTCTAAATATTGTTTTATGTGTAGACAAAAAATTGGTGGACTAAATATGGTGCATTTTCACCCATAATAATAATCGGTTCACAAAATCTTCTTATTAAAAGAAATATTGGTATCAAAACTATTGATGATAATTGAAATGAGACAAGATGTTGATAAAATGGATAAATTTGTTAATATTATCATGGGATTTGTAAATAATCACATGTTGTATAAATATTTGGTGTTTTCACTTTTTGAGTTTCGCTTTTTTCTAGATTTTGTTGTAATGAATAAATACAATGTATATACAGTAAATATAAAGTATTAATGTTTTATTTCCAAGAAAAATCAAGTCAAACTTTATCTTCGTTTTTAAGCCTCTCTATTAGATTATTAAAACATTGAATAAAATTTTATTTTCTTTGATGAACTAATACTACTAATTGCTCATTTGTTAGAACTTGCTAATAAACATCAAATACACTCCCTGGACAAAAGTTTCGGTCACCACAAAACAATTAATTACGCAAAAACATACATAATAAAACACAAGTAAATTTCATCAAATTGTAACTAAAGTTCTCAAGAATATGTATGCAAAATTTCAAATTTTTGTAATGTTTGGGAGAATAACAGTTAAAAAAATAAAAAGTTCGACCAAAAATAATTTTTGGAAATGAAATTTTACTTATTTGTATGCAAGTCAATACTTTGTTGGCCACCCATTATTGGATATAACAGCTTTTATTCTTCTCGGCATACTTTCTATCAAATTCATATAAATATTTCTAAGAATTTGATTCCATTCTTCATGTAAAGTTTAACATTATTTTTAAATTTATTTGGACGTTTCCGAATACGAATTTCTAATTGATCCCACAGATGTTCTATTACTATTACTATTGGATTCAAATCAGGAGATTGACTTGGCCAATTTTTCAAAATTTTTACGATTTTTGCTTTGACATTTTTTAATTTTAGCAAAAATTTCAAAATAGCAAACAAAAAACTTGTATAAAAAACATATGACGTAAATTTTCAGAATCTAATCTTTCATATGCCACGATTTCAGGTGCGGTTATTATGTGAGTTTCTGAGAAACTCTTATTTTTTTAACTGTTATTCTCCCAAACATTACAAAAATTTGAAATTTTGCATACATATTCTTAAGAATTTTAGTCACAATTTATTTGTGTTTTATTATGTACGTTTTTACTTCGTAATTAATTGTTTTGTGGTAACCGAAACCTTTGTCCAGGGAGTGTATTATTCTTATTGGAAATAAACAATTAGAATTTGCAGCAAATCGCTTTTCTTTATTAAACATTTAAAAAATAATGATTTCAATTTAAATGATAAAATAGTTTGGGCATTTAGCATGTCAAAATTAACATTAAGTTAAGTTTGGATGGAAGGTCTGTGTGCATTTCATTATGAAAAACCTTGTCAATCTTGACTAAAGAAATACAAATAAGGAAATTGTTTGCATAAAAAACTTCAACCGTTCTTATATATATGTATATTAGCTTTAGTTTTACAAATATATCATTTTTGTTTTCGAATGAATTTAATTGGGTGAAATTAAAAGTGATTATGGATTGACGTGTATTTTGTTTTGTTAAAAAAAATTTTATACATACGTTGTGATACATGGACTCAGCAAAAAAAAATTTTTTCTATTACATTTAAAACAGATAACAAATAAATGATTGAAAAATAGATATACTTATTATGTGTTTTTGCATAATTGATTCTCCGAAATTTTGCTGCAGTGTACCTAATAAAATCTATTTTGAATCTACTAAAACAAATAAACAAAAGGATAAATTTATTATTTATCAAAAAAAGAAATAAAGAAACTTTAAAGTATATAAATATGAACTGAGATTGATGTATCAAAAAAATTTTTTGCAACATTAAAAAATAATTAAACTTTATACATTTAAAATAAATATTTTAAACCAATTCTTTAAAAACAACGCTGTTTAAATTGACTACTGCTTGTGTGATCAATTCAATCATTAACACCAAAGGAACAAAATTAATTACTTCGCAATAAAAGCTATTTGTTTGTTTATTTATTGTTGTTTTTTGATTTTAGTATTAATGCGTGGTTTCTATTCATAATACATTTTATTTGTATTCGTTTTATTCGTTTTGTTCGTTTTATTTGTTTTATTCGTTTTGTTCATTTTATTCGTTTTATTCGCTTTATTCATTTTATTCGCTTTATTTGTTTTATTTGCTTTATTCGTTTTATTTGTTTTATTCGCTTTATTCACTTTATTTGTTTTATTCGCTTTATTCAAATTACTATTATTCATTTTGTTCATTTTATTCGTTTTATTCGTTTTACTCGCTTTATTTGCTTTATTTGCTTTATTTGCTTTATTTGCTTTATTTGCTTTATTCACTTTATTTGCTTTATTCAAATTGCTATTATTCGTTTTATTCGTTTTATTCGTTTTACTCGCTTTATTTGCTTTATTTGCTTTATTTGCTTTATTCGTTTTACTCGTTTTATTCGTTTTATTCGTCTTATTTGTTTATTCGCTTTATTCGCTTTATTCATTTTACTCATTTTATTCGTTTTATTTGTTTTACTCGTTTTATTCGTTTTATTTGTTTTATTCATTTTATTAATTAATTATTCGTTTTATTCGTTTTACCCATTTTATTCGCTTTTATTCGTTTTATTCGTTTTATTCGTTTTATTCGTTTATTCACTTTATTCGCTTTATTCATTTTATTAATAATTATTCATTTTATTCGTTTTACTCATTTTATTCGCTTTTATTTGTTTTATTTGTTTTATTTGTTTAATTCATTTTATTTGCTTTTATTTGCTTTATTCGTTTTATTAACTAATTATTTGTTTTATTTGCTTTTATTTGCTTTATTTGCTTTATTTGCTTTTGCTCAAATTATTTTTTTACTCAAATTGTTTGTTTTATTCAAATAAACCTTATTTGAATAGAAAACCCTAACTGCTACTCAAGATTGTGATATTATTTTAGCACA